ATTTGAAAACATCACTTTCAGATAGTTTATATCACTCACGAGTCTTGCGTCATGATTGCGTCTTGCATCACGAATTGCGTCTTGCGTCACGAATTGCGTCTGCGTCAATGCGTCTCACACTAAACTAATTGCGTCACACGACTTTTAATTTTGACGACATGTATATAAAAATTTATTGTTTTAACACAGGTACAGTATGTATGTATTGGGAAAGTTATTTGCAATGCTATAATTAATTTAATGCGATAAAATAACCGTCAAACTAGCGACGAGTAATAATGACGCGAAAGAATATTGGTAATGTCTAATCAAGTCTGGAAAGAAAACCAGACTTTCCAACCAATAATAATAAGTAATCCTGATCTACAATGTACGAGTTTTCCTTTCTCATTGATGGTTACTTTGTAGGTGGCCTTACCATCACCATATAAATGATTCTAGAAAACAAATTTTTTAATAAAAAAAAAAGCAGTTTTTGTGATAAAAAAAGGAAATATGGTAATTTACCTGAGGAGAGTCTTTGACGGTTACAGCAGCACTGAAACACGTAAATTTGGTAATGACTTTGTCTTTTTTTTGTGTGAAGAATACTCAGTAAAATACTCGGTAAATAAGAAATAGGTGACTGTTTTACTTATTATATCACTCTTACCTTTCTCTCCTATTGCAAGTACTTCCCATGAAACATCTATATATAATTTATTGTCTCCACCTTTCTTGATGACAACCGGATTAGGTGTGCTTTGTTTGAGAGGAACCAGTTCGTCAGAGTAAATGGTAACGAAGAGGGTAGAAAAGATGAAGATCAAGATGAGTTGGAGATTCATTGTGTATTAAGATTAGGAGTTTAAGTTTATGATTATTATGTTAGAAGAATATTTTTTCATGATTTTATATAGAAATTTTATGTCACACAATAGAGGTTGTACCCACTGAATATTCATTCATTTTATATTCATTCAATCAATTAAATTTAGGGTAATATTATATACAGAACCTAAGTGACAAATAAGAATTAATTCTTAGAGTTGGTAAACACTATGTAATTCCTGCCACCCCCAGCCCACGAATTTAATCATCACTTCTGTGATAAATGTCACATTGGTTTTACAAAAATTTTGAGCTACAATTTAGTTTCCTTTTTTATAGAATGAATTACTATTTTTGGTAGGGTTCTGTATATTCCATAAAAAGAACCTTTCTGTATATAATATTTTCCTTAAATTTAATATTCAGATAATCATTTGGTGAATAATTAAAATATTCAGATATTCATTTGATCATTAAATCGATTATTCGGTGAATAATTATTCAGTGATGATAACAATTCGAATAATAAACAAATGATGATAACAATTTGAATGATAATAATAAATGAATGATGTCAATTCAAATAATGACAATAAACGAATGGTACAATTTGAATAATATATGAATGATAGATAACAATTTGAATAATAAACAAATATCTGATTAACCAAATATTCACTGAATATTCACTGAATATTATTCATTGGGTGCAACCTCTATCACACAATGATCTTGTTTATCAGAATCTAACAGAATTAAAATGAGATTTTCTGGTTGCTAGTCCTCCCTACTTACTAGTATATTGGTACATCTCATACTGTTCGTGCTGTACAAATTGTATCAATTAATGAAAATCATTAAATAAGTAACCCTAACCCCTATAATAGATGTTGTGTGATCACTAACAGTATAAAATAAAATGATGAGTATTTTTTCTTTGATCTCCGTTAAATCATCTCATGCATTCAATACAAATACTGCCATATGAAACAGAAAATTTTTTTTCATATTATCCATTAACAACAAATAGAAATTGTACCTAAAGGAAGATTTACTATAAATGAATTGCTAGAATTTTTTTTGTTTGCTCATGACAAACACAATCAAAAACAAAAAAGAATATAGTAAATAATTTGCTTCTCAGATCACAACAATATTTACAATCTATTTGGAATTCTCAATCAACCTGTTTATTATAGAAAGCGCGTGAAAATAATAAGTCTTGATTTGGAACTTCTTGTATTGGGTGTCACAATCATCAAACAGGAGAGAACGTACTGGGAACACAAAATTAACAGGAGGGAACACAAAAATTTAACCCATGCAATTTTGTTGATTGACCAATTAAAATCGTGAATTTGATAACGTAGAAATAAATATGGGTTTGATTCATTTTGTCAACAAT